TGAAAAATTAGAAAGTAAATGAAAGAATGTACAATTTAATTTACTCTTGAATGGGCATAACAGTTTATTGGACAAACAAGATTCACTTTTGGACAAGAACCCAGACAACTGGACCCTATTGAATTTGACAATTTCAAATTATCAAAAATATAAATTGTTGTTAGCCATTGATATATGACAAATACAAGAGTCTTGGGGGAAAAAACATCCTTTCGGATATAACTTTACAATTTCAAATTATTATACACCAGCAAATTGCTGATTTCCGATAAAAATCTGAATCAATGACTATATTCTATTACTAGGTCCATTATTTGATTTAGTGACTGTTGTGTGCCAGCATGCATGGAAAGTGTGAACTAGTGAATATCAGCCATCACGACAGCATGCTTTTATAAATCATGGCGCAAGGTGTAAAAATAATTTTCAGTTGTACTTTAAATGGCTGGATTCCAGGCAATTGCCCGTGGAGAAACTCATATCGGTGAGATCAGCTGTGTGAACCGTACTCTCAAACTTTTCGAGATTATGAAAGACTGGATGCGGTCACAGGGACATCTACTTACACCCGAGAAACACAAACGAACGATTCTATGAAATCAATGACAACGTTGATGTCTATGCTGTATATACAGTTTTATATATAAATACATCATGTAAACAAACTAGTTTCAGATGACTGAACGAAGTTGAACACGAACAAGTATTGATGCTTATTAAAGATATGCAGACAGGAGATACACCTCTCTCCAATGATCACTGGCTAAATAAAATGTCCATATATTTCTAAAAATGGGGAGATGTTTGAACAAAAGACCAAGGATTTCGAGACATTTCCGAAAGAAATGGTCACCTACCTCAGCTGCCGCCATTTTGTTTGGTCACCATAGCGATCGTGGTAAACTCACGCGATATTTTGCGAGAGAGTATGCTTATTGGTTTGCGCATGCGTTATATATTACAGTTTGCAAGAAGGCCACAGGTCAACAGGTTGTTTTCGCTAGCTAAGGACGAGGTGCGGTTTGTTCGCTCGTTCACAGTCCCTCGGTGTGGGGACTGCAGCTCGTTGGAGGTAGTAAAGTCGTAATGAAGAAACCATGCGATTCGGACCATGTTTTAAGGTTGCCAGATTCTGAAATGGGCTGGGAATAGTTATAATTCGGGTCCCGCGTGTCGAAAAGGAGGTTACGAAACATTCAACTTGAAAGATATGGTTTTCAATAACCGAAATAAAAACATGATTTGCGGCATTCTGATCCATATTGTCATCAGTGTTACATGTACACCGGGCTACATTGTTAGTGTCATTTGAAATTATGGAGGAGGCACGAAGTTAAAACCAAGCAAGCCGACTGACAAAATTGACATGCAACACAAGACAGACAGGATTGCTTTTAAATATATAACAAAATCGATTTATTGAAAAATAAACGAACATGCTACTGGCGTCACTATTGTTCAATTACGTCATAAAAAGTATATATCAATAATGATATCAATACACCGCTGTCTTGCACTTCCGGTATCATTATGATCGGGCGACAGAGGGAAAAATAACACGGACTGAAACTAAGGTAAAATGTATAGATTGTTGACAACCAATGAAACATGTAGTCAGATTTCCTTAACTATTTTGTTATGGTGTTGTTTGGAATTGTAGGCCTATGGTTCTCTCAAGTTCGTGAGAAATTCCACATACATGTATTGCAATGAAGAAGGAATAAAAGAAACATAAACAAAAATGTGTAGACTATGTCGACTGTTAATGAATGTCGATTGTATCGTACATGCGAGATGAAATAACAAAAGAAAGTGGCGTAGTCGGCAGGATTCGAACCTGCGCGGGGAGACCCCAATAGATTTCTAGTCTATCGCCTTAACCGCTCGGCCACGACTACTTACATGCACACTTTATAGAAAGATAACCTGATTCGCCATACACGCATAGTATATATATAATGACGCGAGATTTCCAAACAAAAAATGGGTCTCTCTTTAATATTTTCAGGATTTAAATAGGTCGTGTTTTTTGCTGTGTTGATATATGCATGTAATGTGTGACATTTGACAATGATAAAATCATTTTACAATGGCTTGTATTGATAAATTTGTTTCAAGGGGCGGGTTTTTGAAGAATCTGGACTCCCGGACTGCGATTATCACCAAAAGTTGATTCCACGCATACCCTATACGGGTAAATAAATTAATTTAAAACAGAGTTCAGTCCAGAAGGCCCAAACTCGCCAGGGGTCCCGACTTAGGACCTCTTACATTAATAATTCGTAATTTTATTCATGGCTAACAAGCGAGTGTGGATATACGAACTTTTAGTAGATTATCTCCTCTTTTCAAGTGCTCTCCGGCCAAGAGTCCGTACAGGTATAATCGCTGTAATATACTGATATACACAGAATAATATCACCGTACATATTCTACCTGTGTCCATATCGCAGTACGATACCGTCGTCATCTGCGACAATTGACGAATTACCCCTTGTCCTTGATAATTGCTTCTTAACACTGCCCTCACCGCGCTGCCATATCCAACAAGTTATGATCAAGAGGACATTGACAAAATGATTATTTGCGGGCAATCCAGTACATAAATTATACATATTTATACAGTTATACATGTTTCTTCTTCTGTTTCTTTAATATCACCTTAAATATTCTACCTGTGCCCATATCGCAGTACAATGCCGTCGTCAACCGCGGCAACTGACGAATCACCCCCCTCGTCGCCGATAATTGCTCCTCGCCACTGCCCCCCCCCCGCTGTCATCATGATATCCAACATTCCCCGAATATTCCTAAACAAGTTATTACGGAGACATTGACAAAATTATTCTGCGGGAAAATCCAGTGTTATATATCATAAATTGGTTCTTCTTTTTTTTTAAATAGTGAGGTTTTGTTTTGTGGTTGATCAATGATGCATTTCAAAACACCGTATACTACTAGTAAATTTTCAGGGCATTCGGCATGAAAATTCTATTGATTAGGCAAATTAGCAATACGTGCGATGGTCCT